CAAAACTGAGTTTTTTCTTTGTTTTTTTATCCCTCCTTCTGAAAAGGGTGGGGAGAGGGGAAAAGCCAAATCTGAGTTTTTTCTTTGTTTTCTTTTCCCCCTGAGAAGGAGGGAGAATAATTCGTTAATTGCCATTTAAAGGCCGAACAAGTGTGTAGTGGAAGAGGGAATTTGGTTTTTATGTATAACGCGAGAGAATAAGTCGAACCGTAAATGATGAAGCGTAGGGCAATATTAGCCTTAAAATATAGATAGGTCGAAAACTTGAATTTAAAAAATGGGTGCCGTGGTGTCTTATTAAAGGATTATGGGATTTTGTTATGAATCTGCTCTGAAAGTGCTCAGTAGTCCTCTTACTGGGGCTTTAAATAGCTTTCGGTTTGTATTTTATTTCACGTAAGAAGGAACTGGTGAGTGCCCTGTCAGCAGATCATGGTTTTTGGCAGAGTGTATGTATATTACTATTGTCTTCCACGGTCCCAACTGCCTTTTTTCACGAAAAGCCAAAATTTGGAAACTTTTGTCGAAGCCGATTGTAGCATTCAGACTGACATTAGATGCCAAACTGTCGAAGGCGTATTGGATACAAAGCAGGAAAGAATGAGGAAAGGAGACAAGAATGAGATAAAACGTTTCGGTCCATTGAAAGTCATATACGTCTTAACTCAACACTGCGACAGGACCTTGTCAGTATGACGGCCGCAGGGTTTAATGAAAAAGGAAGAGAAAGGACAAAGGAATAGAGATAGATACAAGGAAAGAAAGGGAAGAGCTGTGATTGTAGGATTAGGGGAGTGAGAATGAGGTAAAGAAGGAATAGATAAAAGAGAGGGTTTAAAAAAGGTTATAAGAGAACTTGAAAGAGATTCAAAGGAATGAAATTTCATCTCGCATTCTTGTTGCTTCTGCACTCGTTTTTGCTATTTTTGCTGTTTTTTTAATGCACTCAAACCGTTTTTGCTGTTTTTCAGGTGCTTGGTACCGTGAACTATAACCTAAGGTTAGGTTGGCCGGCACACTACAAACGCCATCTGATCGAAATTCTTTGGCCAACATATGTCCGGAAGCAAGGTGGCCCCCTATCGGATGCGGATCGTCGTAGTCTCTGGGCACTTCTTTCGCAGGATGAATACATTACATTTCGGGTATTGCCGCTTTCACGCGTTACACCAAAGGTTTTTCTTCTTGCTACTTGCGTGATTGTAGTGCTTTTCGTTATAGGGCTTGTGAAATCAGCAAATATGTGTCATTGACGCGATACTTTTGCAGATAATCGGGAGCTGTGGACATTTTTATCAGGTGGAAAAACTGGTTGCATTTCACATGAAAGGTTATTATATGAATTTGAAAGCGAAAATATTGCTTCATTTAATCGGTACGCTAAAATTATTCGATGAATTTTTAAATGAACCACTGCAGTGGTGCGATGTGAAATTTGATAATCTCGGATTGGCCGCCGATTATCCAAAAAGGTTTGCCAATTTTTATGCGTTTTTTGCATCTACGCAATGCAAAAACGCATATTGTCGAGGGGTTGTCTGTGTGTGTGTGTCTGTGTGTATGTGTGTGTGTATGTGTGTGTGTATGTGTGTGTGTATGTGTGTCTGTGTGCGCGTCTGTAACGAGTTTTCATCTCGAGATCCACAAAAGCT